TTTAGAATCAACTGATGAGTCAGAAATTAGTGTGCATAGTTAAATTCATTACACTGAAAAAAAGAGGAATTTTAAATTTTCCGCCAAGAAGTATTTTTTCTTGAATCGAGAATTTTTCTGCTTAATATAAGCTAATTTTTTGCCCAACCTAAGCGTTTTTTTCTTGTATCAAGACAAATTCAGCTTAAATCAATATAAAAAAAAATTATTGGCGGCAAATTCAATAGTCATCATGCTTGAGCCAATCACATTTTTTTCAGTGTAAATTTGGTGAATTCAAAACTTTTAATCTAGTGTAAAAACAAACATCAATGCGGGACTAAATTGGTTAGTTGAAACAATTTTTTCACCTCGATACACATTTTGAATATTATAAAAAATACCTCCCTACTCTGAAACACCCTTATTTTTAAGACTTTGTCTTGTCAACTTGCTTTCGGCAACTTGAAAGTTTGAGTGAAAGTTTAAAATCAACTGATGCGTGAGAAATTAGTGTGTGTAGTTATAAAGTAATTATTAGACTCAGTGAATTCAAACCTTTTACTCTAGTGTCTAAAAACAAATATCAGTGTTGGATTAAATCGGCTAGTAGAAACTGTTTCATCACCCGGCCAGTGGCGAGGCTTGAATGAATACAATTTTTCTTTGATTAAACCGAGAATATTATGAATATACTCCACGTAAAATTTCTCCGAATACTCGATTAGTATTCCCATTATTGACATTATACATTTGCATTAAACATTTTCAGGAACCTACGATATTGGAATGCTATTGGTTCCTTTTTGCAAAATGCAATCCAATGGAGATGTTGCATGTGTGAGGAATTTGCAATTTGACTGTTGATTCTTATGTAAAAGTTTGCGAGAAACACGATGGTGCCAATGGTATTCTCTGAAATCAACTCCCAAGCTCAAAAAAAGCTCTCAAGTCGAGGCCAAAATGGAGGGGATATCCTACGCTATCCTGAGAGGCCACCTCTACATCAAGACAAACTCTCCATGCGAAGATAGGGAGCAAATACATTGACAGGGCTGCCACTTAATTTGGGGACACCACAACTGAAAACACGGCAACCATGCTAATGTACTTGCTCCCTATCTTTGGATGTAGAGTTTGTTCTGATGTAGAGGTGGACTCTCAGGATAGCGTGGGATATCCCCTCCATTTTGGCTTCAACTTGAGAGCTTTTTTTGAGCTTGGGAGTTAATTTCAGAGAAAACCAGTGGCACCATCGTGCTTCTCGCAAACTTTTATATAAGAATCAACAGTCAAATCGCAAATTCCTCACACATGCGACACCTCCATTGTATAACATCTCACATTTTTTGGGTCTTTTCATCCATTTTCCCTCAACTTACATTTAAACCGCGCTAAGCAGAAAGGAACCAAACCACATCAGCTATTGCCTTATTTAATTTTTCACATGAAAACGGTTATGCGGATTTGTGTTCACATTTCAGTGAACTTTCTGCATTTTTCGAAGCAAATTCCTTTAAATTTTCAATGAGTCCGCACAACGATCTCTTGCGAAAAAATTCAATTTTCCAGCTAAGTTTGGCAGCAGCTGACGTGTCTTGGTTCCTTTCTGCGAAACGCGTACCATTCAAGATTCTGCAAGTATGACCTACAACATCAGCTCGAGATCCTTGCATGCTTCTTCTCATTTCTCATACCGCCGCAACAAGCTCGCCTCGCCAGGTTCCGAAACAGTGACAGAAAGTAATGAATAATATGCAGGCAGGAATGCATTTTCTTCGTATAAAATTTATCTTCCCCGGCCGTTGCGGGGCAGGGGGGGGTCGGGGAGACGATCCCGGTAAATAAATGTTTACTCTGAGGGAAATGTGAGTCAACGACTACTTTTGCGCGGATTCCTTTAATTTTTCAAAATTATAAACTCGTTTGGGAAGTCTGCTGACGAGAGCAGTCCGGAATCAAGGAACCGTGACGCAGTAGAACTTTCTCGACTGTGTTCTGGATATCCTCAGGGTTGCACAAGGTAAGGTTTCCGGTCCAGCTGTTTAGAAAGAAAGGAACGGGTAAAAACACCATAAAAAATTCTCTTGGATCCAGAGTCCGGACTCGTAAAAAATGTGACGAGAAAAAGGACTCTTGATCCAATCCGATTTTTGCTTAGATCAAGAACCAAGCCTCTCAATTTGAGCGGATTTCCTTTTGATTTAAGCAAAAATCCGATCGAATCAAGAGTATTTTGTCTTGTTGGGGAATCACTTGAAAATCTTCAGTTTTTCTCTTACTTTTAACCAGTGTAAAAATGAATGGGGGTAAAAATGGATTAAATTAATAAAAGGCAAAACAATTGGTTCACTTATATTATATAAGTGACCAAATTAAGAGAAAACAGAGAAAATCATGGAAAAGAGGAAATGGAATCATTAACATACGATTTTAAAGTAAATGGTAGAATTTCAAAAATTGGAAAAACAATTTCCTTAGAAAAAAGGGAAACAAATTAGCCATGCATGAAGCGGTCTTGAACCTTATTTCTCGTTGTGTTACGTATTTCATGCACAGCGGAATAATTTTCAAGTTAATTGAGAAATTTAAGAGAGGGACCAAAAAACCTGAAGAGTGTAAACCAGAGACAAATAGAATCCCTCCTATCAACAAGTGGTACAAATTCCGAAGATCTTTGACTGGTTCTGATCCGCGAAAAACGGCAGGCGCTGTGGAAACAACTATTTAAACTCTTATGTAATGTGGTGAAGTATCGCAGTATTTGAAGGCGTTTTGAAATCCCGAACTGAGCACTAACACGAGCGGCATCATTGGCACTCACTTAATACTATCATAAGGTGGCTGAATAAACCTCTTCAGGGCTTCACTGATTATCGCAATTGACCGACTATCTTACTGTGATTGTCTTACTGTAACAAAGTTATCCCATTCGTTTTTTGATCCCACTAGAAAAAAGTCTCTTGGATCCAAAGTCCAGACTCTTGAAAACAGTGGCAAGAAAAAACACTCTTGATTCAATCGGATTTTTGTTTGAATCAAGAAGAACCCCGCTTAAATTAAGCGGCTTGGTTCTCGATTTATGCAAAAATCCGATTGAATCAAAAGTATGTTTTCTTGTCAATGTTTTTAAGAGTCTGGACTCTGGATCCAAGCGACTTTTTTTCTAATACCTATTGTCTGGAGAATGCTTTTCGCTAAAAAAAGAAAAATTCCTGTACATTGTTTTTATTCAGACAGGAAAAAAAAACACATTGAATCTAGAGTCCAGACTCTTAAAAACATCGACAAGAAAAAATACTCTTGATTCAATCGGTTTTTTGCTTAAATCAAGAACCAAGCCTCTTAATTTGAGCGGATTTCCTTTTGGTTTAAGCAAAAATCTTATTGAATCAAGAGTATTTTTTCTTGTCAATGTTTTCAAAAGTCCGGACTCTCTAGATCCAATTAGAGTCCCTTTATGCTGAGAGTCAAGACAATGTGAATCCATTTCTGATTGGTTCCCGTATTTCAGGCCTTCACAGTGTCACAAACGGGAATAAAGATTACATTTTCACCGACTGCAAAGATTATATTCTGGAATGGACCAGGGAATTACGGGTTCGGCAAGGAACAAACGGAATGAGAGAAGGAACGGAGAAAGGAATTTGAGAATGGGCCGATCAAAGATTACGAAAAACGTTCAATTTCTATAATCTTTATTCCCGTTTGTGACTCCATGAGGGGGTGTTGTCTTGACTCTAAGTATAAAGGGACTCTAGATCCAATGTGGTTTTTTTTCCAGTGCACTATTTTTAAATGCGGGAATTCCACTGTGCGGTGAGCTCATGCAGAGGAAGAAGAAGGAATGATGAAATCATGACTTGGAGCCTCGGGAAGTTTAAACAAATATCATTTAATCCGGGAGCGAAAACGAAGCCTTGCGTTTTTCAGAAAGATTAATCGCAGCCCGGAATGTTTTGCTAAGTGAGGAATTACTTCGGAGGTTCCTCCCCGTTATTTTTTATCGCCCGCCAAAGTTTTGCGAGCGTCCGCTCCCCGCTTCATCGCAATTACAAACGGACCCGGTAGCACTTAAACAGGGATCTAGATGCATCGTTCTATGCACGCTGTCAGCATTCTTGTTCAAATGAGTCAGTTGCGCTGATCAAAGAACCGTGTTTTGATGCGTTATTCTTGTAGATTATATAGCTGAAAATAATAAGATTTCTTCAAACAGCAAATCTTTACGTTCAATATTAAACGAGATATCGGGCTTTAAAAAATTTTTCTTTCAAAAAGCGTCTTGAGGTGATTCGATGGACGCCATATTTTGTGTCAGAACGGCATGCGATATATCCATCAATTATTGGTTCCATTTTTCCAGCTACTCATCATTTTTCTCCAATTTTGAGATCGCAATTCTGTTGTTAGGAGACTAAAGCACTCACCAATTTTAACAAAGAAATTCAACGTAATGAAGGCGTGGTTTTTTCAGGGAAAAACCCACGCTTTTTGATTGAATTAAGAAGGAATACTTCTTGACGGGAAATTTCAGATTCTTTTTTTTTTCAATGATTATCAAAATTTTGGCCTGAAGAGAGGAAGAAAATTCCGAAATGTACATAGCCTAACTCAAAAATCAGAAAAACCGGACGAAAAAATAGTACCCAGGTAATCAACATACATTGCAGTGAAATGATTAAACCAAATCGTTTATAGTGTCTACCCAATAATACTGTGCTAAGTAAGAACGCCGTAAATACCTACATCAAGATTTTCCCTCGTTTTTTGGAACTTAACACTTTATGAAATAAAAAATGTTTTATTCATGCACCTCAAATTTTCAGGTTAAGTTCTTGATAGTATTCGCGAAATAATTCTATAAAAACATTTTCCCAAGGTACACAAGTTTTTCTGCTATGATACATTGTTTCCAAAAAATGTGAAATGGCGTTTACGGCGTTTTCGCGTTGCACGGCAGAATAGGGTTCATTCGGTGATTTTTTAGGTAAGGGGGAAGTAATGGAAGTAACACTTACCAGCAGAGTTTTATTCTTGAAGGTTATGAGAAGGTGCGGGTGAATTTTGCTGAGTTGACACCTTCGGAGCAGCGGCTGATATTTCTCGGGGGAGTCGTTTTGCTCTGAAACAAGGGCAAAGCAAAATGACGCTGTTAACATCGTCGGTATTTCGAATCGAGATTCGAGGTCCGTAATGGGGATATTGCTCAATCTTCGAGATGGCTTACGTGTTGCCACCGCGCTTTTATGTCAAAATTCAACCCTTGTAAACCGATGACTCTCCAGTCTGCCGTGACGGCGAAGAGAGCAGCAAGTGCGAAAATGAAGTTTTGAGAAAGCAGGCTCAGAAGCTTCTGACGGCTGTTTTGTCTGAAACTACACACATACGGCTGTTGTTGCGCACTTACGGCTTTCTCGTATGACTCGTTTTGATACAATTAAGATAAAATTTGCTGGTTAGTTATTTCGGTGATCTCATCTAAAAGAGAGCAGTAAGTGAAAACATGAAGTTTTGAGAAAACACGCTCAGAGGCAAAATATATGAAGAGATAGAATGATATGTATAGTAATCTTTAGTAATAGAGACGAAGAGATAGAATAATATAGCTAATAATATTTAAGTGTTGTACTAATAAAGCAGCACTTAAATATATTAAATTGATAAATCGTCACCTTCCAGGCAAAGTATCACAAGTGCCATGCGACGTTTAAAAGTTTCCACCGCAATTTCATTTTTTTACAGAGAAATAGTTGGTTGTAGTTGTCCGAAAATTTCACTGAATTTTTTTTGTGCTGCCCATAAAATTCAGTGAAATTTTCGAGCAGATTCAACCAATAATTTCTATGTAAAAAAATAAAATGGCGGCGAAAATTTTTAAACGTCGCATGGCGCTTGTGATACTTTGCCTGGAAGGTGACGAAATGTAAAACAAGTTGGATTTTGCAATCGCTAGCGATAGCAATATTCGTCATGGGAACGTTAGCTTCTGGGATATGAAAATGTTAAGGTACAGTTCGTTTGTAGTATCTTCTGAATTGAAGGGGCTATGTAATTTTGTGTTGACATCTCTTTTTTAACATTTTTAATTATTTTCTTTGCATACAAGAAAGCTGTTATGTACCAATTATTTATTTTCGTTGGATTATATATGGTTTTCGGAAGTTAACGCATTTAAGTTTCAGGTTCGCTTTTTCGGCGTAAAGTATACATAAGGTGTCCCAAAAGCACCGGGACTTGTTCTGTAACTTCGAAAGTAAGATAGATACAGACATGATCTTGATTTCATTTTAAAGATCAACTCAATACCTATCGATTAAAACCAAGATCAGCTCAATCGGATAAAAATTGACCGAGTTATGGCAATTTGAAATCAGCGAGGAAAGTTTACGCCTACGGTTTTTAAGGAAGATTCTTCATCGCCGTAAATCGAAAAGTCGGCCGATAAAGTGATGCTTATTGTGTTTTTTTATTTTCGAGGTGTCATTTATCAACATTTTGTACCATCAAACACAACAGTTGACAGTGCGTATTATTGCAAAGTACTAAAGGAGTTGAGAATGCACATTTCCCGGAAACGGTCGGACTTGAAAGCTTCGTGGATACTCCATCAAGACAATGCGCGGCCTCACACATCGAGCTTAACACGTGAATTTATGAGTAAAAATGGAGTTGAAACAATCCCTCATCCCCCTTATAGCCCTGACTTGGCTCCATGTGATTTTTGGATGTTTCCTACGCTTAAAAAGGAGCTTCGCGGACGAAGATTCGTATCGAAGACCGAAATCCAGAATGCAATTCAAAACTTCTTCAACTCCATCCCAGAGGAAGAATTCAGGAAAACAATGTTGGATAAGTGGCAAGAGCGCATGAAAAAGTGCATCCGGTTTGATGGACGGTACTTTGAAAAGCAAAAGGAAGTTATGGAAGATTCGGAGGAAAGTGGATACGAATATTAACTTTTTGAATCCTGGTAAGCGAAAAATCTTCCTAAAAACCGTAGGGGTAAACTTTCCTCACTAATTTCAAATTGTCATAACTCGGTCAATTTTTATTCGATTGAGCTGATCTTGGTTTTAATCGATAGGTATTGAGTTGATCTTTAAAATGAGACCAAAATCATGTCTGTATCTATCTTACTTTTGAAGTTACAGAACCAGTCCCGGTACTTTTGGGACACCCTACGTATGATATTTTTACTCTACACATATGCCCGAATACGCATCATAAGGGACCTATGTGCTTCCTAAGTTGCCAAGTATTAATTATTGTTAGATTATTGGTCTAAAACATTCAATACAACCAGTAAAAATTAGCTGTCCCCTACGAGATTCGAACCCCCGCTCGCACAAAAAGTGACACTCTCCCAGAGGCAGAAAGGTAACGCAGCCATTTGAGCTATTTCGCTGCTCAGATATGCATGGAGAAAAAGAGAACACTTAAGTGATCTCGGACGCTGAGCGGGGCTTCACAAAAGACGTCCTTGAGATTTCAACGGTTCGGCCACTGGCGTGATAAGACACAACGGATCAACCGCATTACTCTGTGAGACATTGTTTACCTATGCTGTCATGTGTCACGAGGTTCATATCAACAGGCATTTGCGATCGCGGCAGTAAGCTCAGGCAATATTTCTGTATTCATGGATTAAATCCATCAATCGAGTTCTGATTTTGGCTCATATATCCGTAACGGGTCCTCCAGAGCAATTTTCCACCTTGTACGATGGTTATTATTTCTTTATATCTATGTTTAAAATTTGAGGTGGGATAATGGCGGCTTCTCAAGAGCAACGAGGTAGGCGATCTTTTGCACCAACGAACAGAAAACTGATGGCGAAAAATAACCAATCAGAACCTCCCAAAAAAAAGAATTTGCCTAAAAACGGAACTTCGTGGTTCTGCGCAGATTTACCAGTCAGACACGACATCTCAAGGTGGAAAAAAACTCGCTGAAAGCGAATTTTAGCAATCAACACAACTTGACGTAGAGACATGATTGGCTAAAAAATACAACGGTTTTTGATACATCGGAAAATCAACCAAAAATCGGAGACTGGGCGAAACGCTCAAGGTCGCAGAGGTATAGGGAATCCCATTGCGAAAGCAACGGAACGATTCTAATATCATGGGGAACTCCGTTCCCATGACAACAAGCAGGAAGCTCCAACGCATTCGCGTCGGAAAGCGGCTCTGGCGACGGTAGGTAGTTGTTACGCGTTTACGGTTTCCTTGGTAACCTTTGTTTGCTATCAGCTGATGTCGAGTAGTATGACTAGGAAGCTCCAACCACGGCATTCTTCGAAAAAAGCGCGAAAACTTATAGATTTGAATTTTCAAATTTTAAACGTAAAGTACATTTTTTCCAGTGCGAGATTAAAGCACAGACCCGTTTTGAGTTATTGACAGTATCACCATGATTCCAAAAATACACTACACAACATAGCATTCGCTCACAGGAAAAAGATATCAATTAAAATAAAATCAGTCCCCCCTAAACAGCAGAAAATGGCGCCGATTCCCATCAACCAACACGCGGTCTCTCCAATGTAACATGGTCCGTTGATACTCCCCAGCTGGGACCGTCCGGAATAGCAGCTCTAGTGCAAGCACCAGAGCCGCTAAAAAAATATTCAACAATCATTAGTAATAGAGAAGAAGAGATGGACTAATATAGTTACCTTTTAAACCGATGACTCTCCAGTCTGCCGTGACAACGAAGAGAGCAGTAAGTGCATGAAGTTTTGAGAAAGTAGGCTCAGAGGCTTCTGACGGCTGTTTTGCCTGAAACTACGTCATTTTTTGCGCACTTAAGGCTTTCTCGTATGACTCGTTTTGATACAATTAAGATAAAATTTGCTGGTTAGTTATTTCGGTGATCTCATCTAAAAGAGTTTAGACGATTTTGAAGGAAACTCGATTTCGAAAATTTGACACTTACTGCTCTCTCCGCTATCACGACAGCAGTCTCCATCGCCGGTGTAACAAGAAGGCGTAACTACAGCTCTGCATTGAGCCGTGTCCTCCATACAATTCAATATTTTTCCGGGCTTTATGTAGTCACGCCCTTATGTGAGCCAAAGCGACGATTCAAGCTGGTTACATAAAAATCCAATTTTTATTGCCTCGAGTCCAGGTGTTAGAAAAAGCTCAACCGATTGGACATGCCACGACTCAATTTTGCCTTGAAAGTTCGCCTGTATCCAAAGCTCTGCCGTGGTAAGGAGAAACGTCGCATGAACGTTTGAGAGTTGCAGAATTTCCCTCGATAAAAAGTTCATTCTTGAGGAAAGATGTGAATATTTGGACCGCGTTTAACAGAAAGGAACCAAGCCACATCAGCTATTGCCAAATTTCATTGGCTAATTTAATTTTTTACATGAAAACAGTTGTGCGGATTTTCGTGCAAATCTCAGTGAATTTTCTCCATAGTATGAAGCAAATTCCTTAACATTTTCAAAGGGCTCCGCACAAACTTTTTCTCGTAAAAAATTAAATTGCCCAGTTAAAATTGGCAATAGCTGATGTGGCTTGGTTCCTTTCTGTTAAACGCGGTCCATTTGTCCTTAAATTTTCAAAATGTTTAGGTGAAATTGCGAACAAAATTATCTGAAAAATTGGGAGGAAAATATTCGAAAGTTTACCATGAAATTCGCGGTTTACCAAAGGAGATTCGGCAACGCCTGAAGGTTCATTCGGCGTTTTCCCCTAGCACGCAGAGCTGGCAACATAAATATCCAATCTTTACTGTCTCGGGTCCGGGCGTTTGAAAAAGCCCAGCCTATCGGATACCGTGTGATTTTCTCGTTCCGCTGTTTATTCGTGCTTGCGACGAATAGGAACGGAATCAAGGATAAGTTGATTGCGTGCAAATATTCAGAGAATAATGGCATGCAGCGACGGAATGAAGCTTCCTGTAAATAAATAAACACCAGTGGCGTGGCGTGAATGATCGGTTATCGATATTTCTCCATTTGAAGCTATGGTAAAGAATCGATTATCAAGGTGTTCATTTTGAACGCCCTGTTTATCGATCCTTTTCCATAGGTTTAAATGACAGATCAATCGATGTATCGCAAAGCACGCCACGGCACTGATAAACACGAGGTAAAGTGCCTGAATTTAT